GGAGCCCGATGCGGGACTCGATCCAGGGACTCCAGGATCATGACCTGAGCCGAAGGCAGTCGCTTAACCAACTGAGCCACCCAGGCGCCCTTAATAATCCCTTTTAATCTTGTGAATTTAAGGTCTATTTTGCCTTCTTCTTATACAGTTGTATGTTTTAAATGAAATGTGATAAAGCCCAATCTTAAAATGGAAATGAATATAAATATAACACGTAGACATCAACACTCACTCACCAATGATCTCAAAACACTGGGTCTACTACCAGATTTTTTTCATTAGGATTATATTACTGGGTACTTTTTTCTAATAGGAGAGAGAATCAGGCTTAGCTGAGAATCGCAAGAAATATGAACAGGTGAATGTTGAAAAAATACCATAGGTTTGGGGACAGGTGGTTGTCATGACTACAGCAGGAAAAGTAAAATCACCTCTTTTAAAAAGAAATGTTTCAATTCGGACAAACTTCCCCAATAACTGAAAAGGCAAGGATTTCTCCGAGATCATTTTCCTTAATTTGATTAAGACGTGCGCGTTCTGGTTGTCGCATAGCAATTTCGGCCCTTTTTTCATTTTGTTATCCATCCCTCTTTTACTGCCTACTTATAGTGGGGCATTGGATTTATTTCAGCAGTAAGCTCCCCCAAACTGTGGAACTGAAATGCCTCCTTCCTGCAAAGCTCAAACGCCACACGAACCCCTGAGCCTTTCGGAACGCGCGTTGCCTCGGGCCCTTAACCACGCCCTCTGCTCCCTTCAGGGCACGCCCCTCTTCGCGTCGGGCATTCCTGGTCTGCACGCCGGATTCCCAGTCCTGGTTTTGCAGCGTGCCATGTCAGGAAAATAATTATTTTGTGGGTTTTTTTGTTTTGTTTAGTTTTTAAGACACATAGAACTCTTATTTTGTGTGTGTGTTTTTTAAAGACACATAGCTCTTTCGCTCTCTCGCTTTCTCTCTCTCTTTTTTTTGGAAGGAGATTAGGGAGGGAAAAAATGACAAAAGAAAGAAACCCTATTGAAGCTTCAAAAAGTTGAAGAGGAGTCAATTGATGGAAAGGCAAAACAGACATTTTGCTACAAACTCTTTGTCCCCCCCATCTCCCAGCCAGAACTTGGAAAGTGAGTGGCGTTTTGTACCAAGACAGTATTGGATTAGATCATCTAACAACAAAAAGATTGGTAATTCTTGGGAGGAGACGTTCTTATCTCCCTCCTACCCCATTCAGCGCCCGCGCACCGCCCCCCCCTCCCCCGCATGTCGGTTTGCACCAGGAACTGGGCTCTCTCACTTCTGGAACAACCGAGATGCCATTCCCTCTCCCCGCAGGCTTCCATCTCCTGCGCATCCCATTCTCAGGTGGATCAGCCACTGGGCGTGCAGCTGTGAATGAAAAGACCCCAAACTGCATCTCCGCCTGAGAGCGGCCTAATGTTAATTACCTACGCAGCCAACTCAGCCCAAATTGGGTGCATGTCGCTTAGCTTCTCAGCTGTCTCATACAACCCTGTAATTACGTAGAGAGTAGCGTGATTTATTTTTGCAGACATTGCTGCCTCAAAAAAAAAAAAAAGGGAAAACATTTTTAGATGCCCCCATTTTGCAGTTAAATATGATTTGAAAGATGGCATCTTTAGAAAATGCTGCAGTTTTATTATAAAGAGCAATTTACAGCTCTCAACTCTAGTTAATTCTACAGCATTCTCTCTCTAAAAGCATTTATTTGTTAGGATTAGTTACTGTTAGTTTTTAAAAGTTATTCAACAACTTTCAGCCAGGAAGCCAAGCCAGTAGAACTTCCACAGTTTGGTTTTAAATTGCAACTCATATTTATATCCTTTTTTTCATAAATCATTGAATTGTTTTGTATTTTAGTATTTAGGTTCTATGCTGATAAAAGAGCTCAGAGGGACAGAATCAACCCAAGATGCCTGTGCAAAAATGCGGGTAAGTTTGCCAAACATTTTTATTTCTAGTTGCTGAAATACTAAATACCGGGTATGGTTACAAATTGCCACTTTTCAAATGACTATTTTCTTCATCTGCTGGTCTGCTGAATCACATTGCCTTTACATAAAAAAAGGTGTTTGGGCTTTGTTCGTGTTTATACTTGAGCTTATCTCACTGTAGTGTGAGTTGATGTCTGTTGGACGTATGGATGTATTTATGCCACGTTGCATTTACTCTTATTTTTAAAGATTTAAAGTTAATTGTATGTACATTGGTCATTCTCCAGATTAAGAGAAAAATGGTCTTTAGTTTATTGCAAGAAAACGGTTTAAGCACCTACCTGCCGGTCTGAGAATATTTACTGTAAAGACCACCAATTAACTAAAAAATTATCAAATGCTCAAGTATTGAGAGCTTATTATATAAAGCTAATATTCTTTATGAGACTTCTCAATTCTGGGGGTTTTTTTAGTATAAGAAAAAAACATTCAACTCTGAGTAAATCATGAAAGGGCAGTAAAAGTTGACAAAAATGGCAGTTGTAAATGTCTGTGATCATGGGCCGCTGGATTCCTAGGAGTCTGTATTAGCCAAACCGAATCTTACTCATACTGCACATCCACTGTAGTTTTTTTTTTTTTTTAATGTGTCCCTTATCCTTGCTTCCTCCATTACAGATGTACAGAGGCTGTGGCCATACCTGACAGTACAGATTAAGAATAGTAGACTCATTCCATATAGCAACTAACCAGAGTCAAATTTAAGATTGTTAGCAAGTGAACCCTAACTCTGATTTGTGGCCAGTATACGTTGTTTTATTTTACATGAGCAGTGTCGGGTGGGAAATATTTAAAAATTAAAACAGTTATGAAGACAAATATGTAATATCGACTGCTCATAGAAAGCCAAGTATGTGTGAATCTTCATGAAATTGAGACCTCCGAATGTGATCGCTGATTTAATATTTGGATCTGTTCAATAGCAGGAAGACTGAAATTAGTTACCTTCTTTTGATGTAGAGTTATATTGTCAGTGCCAATGAATCTTTTATTCCAGGTACTGTATTTAGATGAAAAAAGCTGTGATATGTGTCAAGAACTCTGTGTTCTGGTTTTGTTGCTGCTTACATTGCTTTGGAAGTCACTCTTAGTCATCATGATAATGACTGCTAATATTTACTGAGTAGTTAAAATATACCAGTCTTCTGTGCTGAGCTGAATGCTTTGCATGTTTATCTCATTTAATCCTACCACAAACCTGGAGTTTAGGGCAGTCCTTATCCCCGTTCTACACGTGAAGAGACTGAGGCTTGGAGAGGTTAAATAACTTTCCCAAGGTCACATAGTGAAGAACTTGCCAATCTGGAACTGGAACACAGGTCTGTCTGACTCCAGAGCCCAAGCGTTTAACTACTCCACTCCCCTCCTTCTCCCGGGCCTCATTTTGTCACTTAGAAAATGAGGACATTGGGCGCCTGGGTGGCTCAGATGGTTAAGCGTCTGCCTTCGGCTCAGGTCATGATCCCAGGGTCCTGGGACCGAGTCCCGCATTGGGCTTCCCGCTCCTTGGGAGCCTGCTTCTCCCTCTGTTTCTCTCTGTCTCTCATGAATAAATAAATAAAATCTTTAAAAAAAAAAACAAAAAAGAAAATGAGGACATTGGACTAGATGCCCCTTAGGGGTCCTCGTTCGTGGTTTTATAATTCCAGGAATCTTGTATTCTAAATGTATATCTGATCTTAATTATGTCACCAATGAACAAGAAGAAAATGGGAACATTTTTCATTCGTCAAGGCTCATAATAATTTTAGAGCTATTTATGAACACGTCTAAGAAATTAATTTGGCATCTCTGATTTAATACTATTAACTCCGTTATCTGGGTCCAGCTACTTCAATGCTGTAATCAGCATAAATAGTGCATAGAGTACAGAACACCATTTAAAACCAGATTTGTGATTTGAATTTCAGTCAATTTCATGAAATTAAGTGGATCTGAAATTCCATTCTGATAACAACAGGAAAGCCATTTTAATAGTGTCGGTGGAGAATAATTTAAATACTTGTTGCTGAAAATGGAACAGAAAAGGTCGTCTGTTTAGAAGCCATTCTTCTGTTCTTTGGGGAGTTTTTCTGGTTTGCTGCCCTTGGTGTTTACTTGGGGTCGTTTACATGAAAATAGGAACTTTATTGCTTCTTAGGATATCACCAACTCTTATTTCCCATCCTGATTAAGTAAGTATCAGTCTTTGGTACAGTAGCTAAAGTTGCACTCACTGCACGCACTAGAGCCTTTCCTAACTAGAAGCGCAGGCTTGCTGTTATCCGGGACTATTGTGAATTAGAACTCTCACCAACTGAAAATGGTGTGGCTCTCAACTTGCAGTTAATTTTCAGTTTGAACCTCAAGTTGCTATTTTCTCTGTTTTCAATATGGTGGCCTTGAAGGCCAAAGTCCCAGAATCAAATCCACCCAGGGGAAATACTTTAGGACACAGATTATCTTAAAAGTTGATATATAGTAATATTAGGCCAAAGTACTGTAGATTAACAGCTTGACCTGGTTTACTCTTTCGGTGGGGGGAAAAAAGACCTTTTCAATCCAATGGTATGCGTTTTAATTGAAATTAAAATTTCTTTCCCAGTAAGAAGTAAATCAGTATGGTTCTTTATTCTGAGAAATATTTCCTTAGTGTACTTTGTTAACAAAGATGCCTAAGATTTGGCTCCTGCTCTCACTGACTTCAGTTCAGTGGAGGAGTCTAACATGTTAACATTTTAGTTCCCGCAGAGAAGTATCACTGTAGAGGGGTCTTCATGTGGCCCGTAGCCTGCAGGAGCATCCTAGATGATCCCCAAAATGACCTGCAGGCAGGGTCTCTTAAAGTCAGTTTATTAGTACCAATAACAGTTAACACTTGAGAGCCATATAGCGGGCCTTGCACACGTGATTATGTGCCTTTATTCACTTAATCATGAGGTAAGAATTGCTATTGTCCCCACTTTTCATATGAGGGAACCAGGGCCAATGAAAGTTAAGTAACTTACCCAAGGTTACCTGGCCAGCAAGTGGTGCATCCAGGGTTTGAACCGGGGTGATTTACCTTTACCACCAAACTCCAAACCCTAGGCTGTACCACCCCTCTAATGAGCCAGTGGAACATTTATTGTCCTGAGTTTTAAAACAGCTGAAAATGTGGATCATTTATATTGATAAAGAACTTTAAGAACCCTCAAAGACTCTGTAAAATTAGCCAAATTAAACCATTTAGGTACAGACATATGTAGTAATTTGGAGTACATTCCAATCTATTAACCTAAATAAAAATTTCAGGAGTGTTTTTATTGCATCCTAAGCAACTATATTTTTTTCCACAATACTTACTTAAACACATGTACTTTGCCCCAGCACAAACCAAACACAGTTTTCCCTCTTCGGAAACATTTGGAGTGTTTGGTAGTCACAATCGGCTAATTTCTAAGTTTATCTAAACCTGTTTATTCATCTCTAAATTCCCCTCCTGTTCTGAAGCAAAGATAATTCTACACTGATGTCCTGGTGTTTAATTAGACACATATTATTTCAATCAAAAATAGGCCATTGTAAGCTAAGGTGTGTGAGATGATAGGAATTCACATCATTCTACAATATGGAATCACAGGTTAACCAGCCTTTTCCCTCTTTAACCTGTCTTACGATTTTTCTAATAGACTTGACCTGTTAGAGCAGTTTTAGGTTAAGAGAAAAACTGAGCATAAAGCACAGAGTTCTTGAATATATCCTCCGTCCACCACGACCACCCTCACAGTTGCCCTTATTAGTAACACTTGCATTGGCGTGGAGCTTTGTCACGGTTATGAACCAGCATTGTTACGTTCTTAACTAAAGTCTGTGGTTTACATTAGAGTTCATTCTTTGTCGTATACAGTGTTTCGGGTTTTGACAAATGCATAATGTCATGTATCTCCCCTTACAGTACCACAAAGAATTGGTTCATGCCCTAAACCTCCCCTCTGCTCCACCTGTTCATCTCCTCTCCCCTGCCCCCGCAGCCCCTGACAACCACTGACCTTTTTATTGTCTCTATAGTCTTGCCTTTTCCAGAATGTCATATAGTTGGAATCATACAGTATGTACCCTTTCCAGACTGGCTTCTTTCATTTAGCAATATGCTTTTAAGCTTCCTTCTTCTACGTCTTTTGTCCCCCCCATCTCCTAGCCAGAGGTACCACAGTTTGTTCATCCGTTTATCTGTTGAAGGCCACCTTGGTTGCCTCTAGGTCTTGCAGTTATGAATAGAGCCGCTATCAACATTTGTATGCAGGTTTTTGTCTTAAGATTTTTTTTCTCCTGGATTCAAACCCTCTTAAAATTATCTTCTGAATTGTGTTTAGTGAAGAAGAATCAATAGGAACTTACATTAAACCCTGATAATTTTTTTTTTAAGATTTTATTTATTATTTGACAGAGAGAGACACAGCGAGAGAGGGAACACAAGCAGGGGGAGTGGGAGAGGGAGAAGCAGGCTTCCCGCCAAGCAGGGAGCCCAATGCGGAG